GCTGAGAAATCAGCCCAGAACTACACAGGAGATGCTCAATGACCTAAAAAGTGCTGGGACGAAGGTATTTTCTTACGAAGGTCCCCCTGTGTAAACCTGCACATGTCAAGGGCTTTTACTGTAGGTTAGCCAATGAACATTCGGATGATCCACAGGAGTCATGAAAAAAAGTCATGTGGTCAGATTCACCAAAATAGAACTTTTTGGTCATAATTCCACAAACCGTGTTTGGAGGAAGAAGAACGATGAGTACCATCCCAAGAACGCCATCCCTACTGTGAAGCATAGGGGTGGTAGCATCATTCTTTGGGGTGTTTTTCTGCACATGGGACAGGGCAACGGCACTGTATTAAGGAGAGGAAGACCGGGGCCATGTATTGTGCGATTTTGGGGAACAACCTTCATTCCCTCAGCTAGAGTATTGAACATTGTTGGAGGCTGAGTCTTCCACCATGACAATGACCCAAAGCACACAGCCAGCATAACCAAGGAGTGGCTCTGGAAGAAGCAAATCAAGGTTCCGGTTGTGGCCTAGTCAGTCTGTAGACCTAAACCCAACAGAGAATCTTTGGAAGGAGCTCAAACTCTGTGTTTCTCAGCGACAGCCCAGAAACCTGACTGATCTAGTGAAGATCTGTGTGGAGGAGAGGGCCAAAATCCCTCCTGCAGTGTGTGCAAACCTGGTGAAAAACTACAGGAAATGTTTCCAAATATTTATTTGCAGCTGCTGTATCACACTATAATAGTTAAAAAATATCATACATTGTGATTTCTGGATTTATTTATTCTTTTAGATATTGTCTCTCACAGTGGACATGCACCTACGATGACAATATCAGCCCCCTCCATGATTTCCAAGTGGGTGAACTTGCAAAATAGCAGGATGGTCAAATACTTATTATCCTCACTTTAGTTGCTGTGTATTTTCTGAGGGAGGGGGGAGTTTATTGATCATGTTTGTTGGTCTTGTGATGATGATAATATTGCGAGTGTTTAATTGAAGCAGAGAAGTAATAATCTCAGCACTTGGCTTGTTTTTTTTTTTGCCTCTGCTATAAGTCCAACCAAGACGAAGATCCAGATCATGCCAAGCTTACACCGTCCATTATAGAGTAGTTAAAACACACATGTTTGTGTGCAAAGCAGTGTTTGTGTATGTTTGACGCTTAGTGTTCCCGTGATTAGTGGCTGGCAGATCGGGTATATTTGTCCAACAGCACTGTGTGTCAGGCGAGCTCAACGTCCGCGCAGGAGAACATGAGTGAAGGAGTGGATAATTGATAGTGACAAGGCGCTCCCAGCCTTAATTGCAGCCGGTGAATTAGATTACCTTTTCAAAGTGCCTTCATTAGTAAAGGGAGAACCACACCAATGGTCTCCTGATTGGCCTCATATTGTTTTGCTGTGGGAGAAATGTATATATAATGTATGTGAGTGTGTGTGTGTTTCTTTTTTGGATGGTTTAAGTTTAATATTTTTTTATTATGACATTTTCTGAAAGCTTCCTCCTCAATTTAGGCCACTTGCTGATTTTTCCAGTATTAAAGGATTAACATTTCAACACACTTTTCAGTGACATAAGGAAAATATTAGATATTGTGTTGACCTTATAGGTCACAGTGAAACAGCTTTGATGTTTTTTTTTTCTGTTCTGGAAATATATCCATGCTTGTCATTCCATCCCTGTGGGAACAAAACATCTAGACGGCTGAAAAGAAACTTATTGCATGAAACCTGGATTTTTGAGATGGCCATGTCAGAAGTAAAGAACGCTTGAATCTTGTTAAACATATGACATTTACTTTAAAAAGCAGACATCATTGTCAGGTTTAGTAAAGTGATTGGTGATAACACATTAAAGATAGTTACAGGCTGGTTCTGATACATATAGAGGCCTGTTTGTGCCTTATGAACACACAAAGACAAACTAGAAAAATGACTTCCACTCTGGAGGGCCGTAGCATGAGGCGAGCCCAACCTACTGTAGTAGCATTACTTTCAGCCTGTCCAGTTTAACACATCCACAGCAGTGGCAATCAGGATCAGCTGTACCACGAAGCTCGTTATCAACTCAATCCAGCTTGAACTGATCATGAAATTGTGAATGCGCAATTATAAAGGTAGCAGACCAATCACAATCATGAGCGCAGAAGAGAGAGCGCCATATTTTTCCTGAAAGGAACAAAAACTCATCTTACAGAAATAAAAGAAGAAAAAAAGTCTCAATGAAAAGTCAAACATGATGCAAAATACCATGGCAATGGAATGCTGACTCCGTAAATGAGCAAGTTACACTTCAGTGACATTTAACACAGACTGCATCCCAATCACCATACTGTTTATCAATTGCATTCCCCTCTGGAGTGAGGAGGACTTGGAAGCAGATAAAAATGAAACGCAAAAACATGATTTATATCTGGTTAGTTACACTTTTTAATTCAATAATGTTTGGGCTACAATAAAGCTGGATGCTCATACCACAGTTGCATCATATCAATACAAGAAATTATCAGTCTGAATGAAATGATCCTTTTTTTGAGCTGTCAGAACTTCTTTTTTTTCTCGCAGTTTAACATTAACACAGAGCAGCTTCAGTGTAACATCTACCTTTCTTTTTTATACTGTTACAGCAAACAAGAAATATTATATATATATACAGAAATCCAGGTATTGACCCACCTGAAATCCTTGTTTTATAGACTGTGTTCAGGCAAGTGCCTCAGCATCCCTGACGTTGTACATGAAGTTGATGGTTGCATAATATCTCATGGCCATACATCCAGTCTGTGATTCAGTGAGGAACGCATTCCTGCATGTTGCACTCCTGATACGTGGTGCCAGGATGTGGAACATAAGCCAGTCTTGCCGGTGTAAACCGGTATCACTTATAGAAGTAATTGTCTTAATGAAACAAAGGATCTTCTCACAATTTTACGGTCTGATTTTTATTGTATATTTTTATTTAGCGTCATACTTCAATGATACAAGAGAAAAGTGAACGGCGGTGGTGTATGACGACATTATTAGTGTTGCGCCGATGCCATTTTATGGCCCCGATACCTGGCTGTGCAATATTGGTCGATACCGATAGTGTCTGTCTGAAATTGATGTATGTGTGTATATATTAAGAACTGCATACTACTTGGATGTAAAATAATAGCCATCATGGCTTTGTTAAGCTGCTTCCTACCTTTGTGAAGCAGGGAAAATACTAATACAAAGTGAATCCAGTAGAACTTTTTATTGCCTTCCTGGAATGGGTGAGAAGAATTGAATAAACTTTTGGGTCTCAGAATGGTAGCGGTGCCCTATTTGTTGGTACTCGCTGATACCGATACCACCATTTTAATGCTGGATTGGGGCCCCGTCCAATACAAGTATCGGTGCAACACCAGACATTATACAGGATAAAATAAATACAGAATATCAAAGTTTGATAATAAGCAACAGAAGCTGCTGTGATGAAGAAGTGGAATCATAAAAGTGTTGCAGTGGGGATGGAAGTGTCTTCTTTCCAAAATAGTTTCGTCTTAAACCTAAAACTTCAAAATCCTTCATCCCAGGCAGCTTCAATATCAGCTACAACCATCCTTCCAGATCCTTTTTCCATATCTGTCTTCAGACACAGCTCCAGCACAACCCTCCCCCCCCACATACCAAAAACACACACACACCGACATCCCCATATCTGTCTCATGCTTCATTCCCACCCCAGCCAGCCTGCAGCCCCCTGCCGAGTTAAATGGAGTGTGCTGGCATCAGGGGAGTCGTGTGTGCTCAGTTCAGCTCCGCTCAGCTGGGCTGCCAGTGTTATAAACTTGCTGTGTGATTATTGTCAGAGCTAGACTCCTCCACCCAGGACGTCTGTGCTGATGGGTACTATGTCACCGGGTACAGCCATCCATAGAGAGAGGAATGAGAAGGCAAAGAAGGGATTGAAACCAAGGTGAGAAAAAGGCGGCGAGCAAGGAGAGAATTATTGTTGGTAGGAGAGAAGAAGAAAGGTAGCAGGGATTGAAGGAGAAAGGACAGAAAAAAAAAGATAGTGTAAGGAGACCCAAGCATCAAAGGAAAGAAAAAGCCAAGCTGAGCTGAGAAAAGACGGATGTACATCTGTGGCAGCAGACAAAGACCAGAGAAGACACAGAAGGAGTGATATAAAGACTGAGAGACAGAAGAATAATGTGCTGGAAGAAGACAGAAAGGCAGCAGGGAAATCAGCACTGCAGAGAAGAAGGAGATGCAGGGAGGGCGGATAGAAAGAAAGCCAAGGAAAGAAATTAGATAGAAATTTTTCAAGCGAGTGATGTGTGCTGTGATTGTTTTCTCTCTCTCTTTCCTCTTCTTTCTCTGGCTCGTTCTAAACGGTCGGGATGTGGCCTGTATCTGCCGGCAAGAAGGAACTCAATTTGGGACAATTTACTCTGCAGTCTCAGCCCTGATGCACCTCGGGGACAGAGAATAGAGAGAATGAAAGTGAAGGAAGATAGAATCAGCAAGACGCACGCATGTACACACACACACGCACGGAGGCACACAACATGCGCCTGGCACACAATTGCTGCCGAGTAGATTTCACTTAGTTAGTTCTAACTCTCCCAGGCGGTCAATACGATTGAGTTTATAAGGCTGGGAAATGAAAAGCCTGGGATAAGGTTAGATAAACTCTGCGCTGTTTGATTTCGGCCCACCACTTTTAGAAAAACCCACACAAGACAGATGGCTGAAGGGGATACGGTGTTATCAGAAGGGTCATGCGGGTGATTAGGTCTGAATGTTTTGACCCTCGTTGTGTCTCAGTATTGATGAACATAAACGTTATCCCCCCTCCCATGAAAAAACCCCCATTTACATTCCCTCAACAAACTGGTCTCTCGAGATCATTTCAACGAACTCGTATTGAACAAAGCAAATGTTGCTCCAAGCGATATCTCATGCAATCATTTATCTCCTGAGAGTTTGGCACAACTTGACAAAATATAATATTTTCTCACTGGCAGGTCGGCAGCCTGGAGGGCCTGTACACACTGAGAGACAGCAGGGGGCGCCCTGATAGAGACACCTTTGAGGGGAGACTTGGGACTGCAGCAGGGGTAAGTGACCCAGTGTGGATTCTAATGTTTGATACAATAATCCCTCCATCATGAAAATAGCACTGATGCAGACTCTGGTCTAATTTAAGTGAAATTAGGGCTTTAAATTATTAAATAACAGTGATAGGAGTTTTGAACACATTTCCGATATATATATAAAAAATAAATGTAGTCTATAATTTCAGTATTTTATGTTCAATTCAATTAAATTTACTCCATTCAGTTTATTTATTTATTGCCAATTCACAACACGTCATCTCAAGGCACTTTACAGTTCATCCAGATCATCCAGTCAGATTGATTCAAAGTTTTCTATCCAAGGAAAACCAGGTGATTGCATTGACTCATTTACTTGAAGGCAATCCCTCACACTAAGCATGCTTGTAGCGACAGTGGAGAGGAAAGACCCCCTTTTAACAGGAAGAAACCTCCAGCAGAACCAGGCTCAGTGTGAGCGGCCATCTGCTGAGGCCGACTGGTTCCGGGTTTTTAATGCAGTTTTATGTGTTCGATTCTTCAAATCAAATATTTGTAAAATGTCACATTGATTGAGATTTCTTAAACATAGCAATAAAACTGTCTTAAGTTTGTACAGGATTCCCCTCGGGGCACATTTAGGAGTCTTTCTGAGGTTTTGAATTAGTTTATATATATGTTAAAAGTTTATCTAGTCTAAAATAGAAATATATCGTGATAGAAGTTATGGTCAGATTGTCCAGTGTTATAGAATAAAAAATATACACTTATAAATGAAAGCAGTTCTTGTTCTTGCCACCCTGGATTGGTGTGTCCTCTTGTTCACAATCTACAATATAGTATGAGGTTCACAAATATAGTGTAAATGGCTTTGGAACCAAGTTAAGTTTATTTGTAACCAAGAAAATAATTCACTCCAGTCTATATCACTGTTGTGACTTTAATGCAGGACACAAATTCAGTTCATATAAACACTGAATAAACAGAAAGACAAACTAAGAAAAAGCCGTAGGATTGTCAAAGATTTATAAAATGGCTAAAACTCCAATGGTTCTTCCATCCAGTCAGCTAATCTTTACATGCATGAGAACATTGGGTAACATAATGCAAAAAATGGAAACACTGTCATATAGTCCATCACAGGATCCCAAACAGGATCCTTAATCCATCGTCCTACTCCACTTTACTTATCTACATACTGCTTTTCTTATAATACCTTTCACATGTAGACAGTATACAAAGACATACACAGTACGCCTCAAAAAGTGCTGCCAAGGCTTTCCGGTATAAAACAGACCAGACCAGGCATAATTAGGAAGGCAGGTCCCATAATGCTATAGTTGCAGCTGAAACGGAGCTAGAAATAAAACAGATGTTTTATTTTTACTCTTTATTATGTCCGAAAAGAGCTGATTATATAAAAATTTCACCAACTGGCTGCTCTGTTTTTTCTTTTTTTAAATAGAGGTTTTTGTGTCACATCAGTAGTTATTTGATTGGTTCTAAACTGTTTCCCTTGACTCTGTTAGTCCCGCCTTTAAATTCGGGTTCTACCTGCTTCTTTCTATTTTCCAATACACACGGTGTAAATTAGTCTGTCCAGTGTAGGTAACAGATCTGCTTGGACCTCGCACATGCCAGAGACAAAATACTATATGATTGGCTGAATGTTGCCAAAATAACCTTGAACATTGTTGTTGGACAACTATAATAACATAAGGTAACGTCTGTATGCTTAGATGGGAGAATCTGTAGTGTTAGTGTGTTAATGATCGAAAACATATTTAGCTAATGGATAACAAAACTGAAAAGATAATTTTTTTGGTGAACTAAGTAGACCTGGGTAGCTCTTTCCTCAGTGGCTAAAGGGCTGGTTATCCTCCCGCAGCAGTGTGTCGCAGTGAGCCTGTCGCAGATTTTTTTGATTTACGCCCAATATTGAAGCGTGGTCTGCGCTTTGTTATTCCACGCCACAACGCAAGAGAGACAATCAGAAACTAGCTGTGGGTCTAGATATGGCCGAGGCGGTGAGGAAGTGGGGGCAAGTTTGTGTGACAACGAAGGGACATGACGGTGAAAAAGAGCGGGGATCCAGGTGGAAAAAGGGTCCCAGCGTTCTTCTAGCTGGTCCCACTTCACGAGTCAGCACTGTCTGTGGTCCCCTACAATTATGGAGAGGAGCACCAGAGTGTCTGCGGAAGGTGCACATTTACGTTCACTGCGACACACACGTGAACAAACTGGTTTCTGAGTATAAACCACCCTTAACAGGTTAGCCTCTTTTAGGTTGGTCAGTTGCCCAAATTAATCTACACAACTTTTAACTTTGTGTAAACAACAAGCATCCATCCACAAGTAGAATAATTGGGGGAAACCAAATATTTCACCAAACTGCCTCTCTGGCTGCAGCGCACGTTTGCATAGGGTGACCGGATTTGGGTTTCTGGGGCCGCTGACTGGAGGTGTTGTTCCAATTAAATCTACCCGTATAAATCTAAACACTATGGTTGATGAACTTCAAGCCTAGTGTCTAATCATAATCTTAAGAATGTGTATATTCCTATGCTGGATGTGTAGAGTTGATGGGGATACCAATTCTGGCAATATGGGATGAAATAAAATGCCTGATGTTAGAACAGAGACTGTTTATTAAGGATAGTGCAACATAGAGAAATTGTAAGTTAATATAAAACATAAATATAGATTTAAGTAATAAATTTCACATAGGAAAAAGTAATGTTCCTATTGGATATAGTCTTTAATGATTACACGTACGCTCCATTTTCTATTTAACTTTTATTACAAGTATATGGTTGACATCAGTTTTCAATGGGATGAGAACATTTAGACAGCATGAAAAGACAAGAGATTTTTTAAGGAACGTGTTGAAACGAACAAGTAGCTGCTAGTTTTCAGAGAAAGGAGTAGAAACTGCTTTCAGCGACCTGTTTGGATGCAAACGCTTGTGTTTTCTTTTTTTTATCACTGGCAATATTGTGCTATAACATGTGAAAGGAAGAATAAAACAGAAAAGCTCATCTTTCATAATAATAACACCTTTCAAATTTCACGTTCAGTATGTTGGAATTGATGCGGAGTGAACTCGGTCACCCCGTCCGCCGGGGGACTGGCCCCGGAGCTGACGGCTCAGTTTGAGTCCCCCTGGACATTTTTTTAGGAATGTAAAGTAGGACATCTGGTCACCCTACGTTTGCAACTCAGGGGGAATAGATCTTCACAGGGGAACAAAGTTTTGCACAATCCTGCTCCCAGCAGGCTGAAGTAATTACCTCTGCCAAGACAGTTATATTTTAAGGAGAGTTTGTGTATAGTGTATATTTACAGTATGTCTGTCTTTGAGCTGGATAACATGAAAAGTTATGAATGGATTTTAATGAAATTTCTTACCAGAGCTCCACCTTATGCCAAGGAACAATCCATAAAATTTTGTTGATGATCTAAATCATAATCCATATTTTAAAGGATTGTTTAACATTGTGAGATAATTATTTATGGAGGAAACAAGCAAAGTACTGCAACAATTAGCTGTGGACAAGTAGCCTTCAAGCTTTCAACCACAAACATCTACATGCTTGTGGTTGCTGCAAAAGAAAATCCAAATTGAATTGCAACTTTGTTAAAAAAAACAAAACAAAAAAACATTTTTGGCAAAATCATTCCACCTAACAGTTAATTCAATTAAAACTGACAAATTATAATTAAAAAATATGTTACAAAACGGTATAATTACATTCTTTTTGCCAAATAGTAGTCTATATTGTGTTATATTTTGTTCTCTGTTGACTAAAAAAATCTAATCACCAATAAGTAACATGTAATAAAACAGCTTTTCTTTTCCCTCTCTCCACTGAGTGCTCCTGCTGCTCACCGATGTGATGGCGCCCTGGGTGGTGAGCCATATCACCCGTATTAAAAGCTGCTGCAAGCAGACAACAAGTAGATAACATGGCCATGTCAAAGGGAATCACACACCGCCATCAGCTCTGATGTTACTCAGCATGTGTATGCAAATTAAACTTAATTTCCATGTTTCAATCAGGGTCTAGTGTTGATTAGCAAGGAGAAAATTAAACATATGATGTGGCGAGTAAATAAAAGATAAAACCATGTACGTTATTTCTGATTTCTGACTCTCGTCCATTTTGCATCACCCAATCACTTAGTGTTTCCCACCTGCAGCAAAACCGTTCTGCATCACCGGCTGAGCACACAATGCAGCCTCCTGACCGGGCTTTAGTTGCCAGGGAAACCGTCACCCTCTGAGATATCCCGTGACAGTGCAGGGTGAAGGAGGCGGGATGAGAGGAAGGGTCTGAGGTATGGCTTTGGCCATGCACATTCTCCAGGGGGCACCAGACCTTTGGACCTTCCCCAATGCATCCCCTTCAGCTCACAACACACACAAAGCAAAAATTAGTGCACCCACACACACACACATAGAGACACACACACAGAGGCATGCAAATAGAAGCATGGGGAAGAACAGGAACCAAAGAGAGGAATATTCCTAACTTCGATTTAGAGTTATCATCTGAATCAGGGTGCATGTGATTAATTGAAGTAATTTATGCACAATCTCCAGTGACTCTGGGTATGGTTCATGATTTCATTAAACTGTTACTTTAATTACTTTTCTACTTTCATAACTTAGGTTAAAATGAAAATGCTCCACATTTTCTAATGAGTTGTTGTAAATTAACAGATTGCGCAAAGAAGGTTGTGGATATAAATGCATTAGGCTTCTTCTGCCTGCTGCCGTTAAACTGTTTTCTAATATGAATTTAACTCTTGCTCAGGCCAAGTAGCTTTAATCTTTGAAGCTATTCGTTTTTGTAATTTTATTAAATACTTTATTGATAGGTTATCTGTTTTGTCAAACCAGAAGCACATACAGTTGCTGACCTGTTTCTAAAACCTTAACTTAGCTGTGAGTTTCACTAAAATGTATCTGGTGGTGGAACTTTAACGATTCAATGAGCCATTTGGCTCTCATTGTCACAGGT